TCTTCTAATTTCCTTAATTTTGCAGCACAATGCGCAAAAAAAAATTGACCAAAATTTGTCTTTTTTCGTTTGTTCTTACAACTTAACTTTTAATTACATATAGTGATTATATATATAATTTGAAGTTAAGTAGTAAGAACAAACGAAAAAAGACCTATGTGGTCAAACATTTTGCGCATTGTGCTGCAAAATTAAGGAAATTAGAAGATAAATTTTAGTACGCACACTAAAAAGTTACCAAAAACTGTGGCTCCGTGAAAACTTCAACAAATGCATATTTAGTTGCTATGAAATGTGTGAAAAAGGAGAAATATGCAACATTTGAATATTTACAAGTAAAATTAATAAAAATAGTAAGCTATATGCTAAATGAATTAAGTAGATTTAAAACACTGTAAAAAACTAATCAATTGATCGATGTAAAAATTAAAATTAAAATTAAGAAGCGGTAAATGGTAAATTAGCCCAATTCGAAGTTCATTTTGGCTTGTCAAGGGAAATTTTTTTAAATGAATTCGAACTACGCGAACCCCATTACGCGTTTCGCCGAATATGTGTGTGTGTTTTGTGTGTGTAATGATTTTGATGCGTAGTCGTGCTGACAGAATGGCAAGAAGAGACAGAGATAACGAAACTAGATTTCGACAAATCACCAGTCTTTATTCTCACACATATCCAAATAATCTGCAGACACTTATTCAATCATAATTAAATATGATAAATTTCTATGTACATTGGTTTTTAAAAATAAGACATGGGCATTTTAGACGGGGAAGCAAAACAGCGTGGATGTTGGCGTGGCGGAAGCTAAGAAAAGGAATTGAAGAAGAATGACGTAGTTTATTGTGCCAGGAAGTATTTATACTAGGTCTGATGTAATTGTAGGGACAAGCTATGATTGGTTAATCTTAGGTTGTTACATAACATAGAAGGATATCGAATTTGGGAGAACAGATGAATTTAGGGGGAGAGAACCAAATCTGGAATCGTTAATTTTGAGGTCTGCAATTAATTTTAAAGCAGCTATCGTATTTTCTTATAACTTAAATTTTCCCCTCCGCTTAAGAAAGGCCGGAAGAGCAGTGTGGTAGAAAAGCATTAGTGAATTAGCGAAGCAGGAGAAAGTTTATTGTATGAAGTAAGACATGAGAAAGCATTAGGTACACAGCCGGCAGGTTTTTCTATGCCTCTTCATGATTCATGACCTCTCTCATAAATAGATTGCGAAATACTTAACATATAATTTACAAGTAATGTAATTTCTAAAGAAACTAAACAATCATACTATTAAAATGTCCAATATCCTTTGAATGTTCAATGAAAATTTGTTGTAAAGTCTCTTGATTAAAACGTTCCATCAGGTAAATGTTCGAATGTTTTCACAAAGTAAATGTCTTTCAAAATTTTGTTGATGAAAATATTTCTATTATAATATAGATTGAGTTGTCAACTTTCATGTAGAAATATAGTACTCAATTTGTGATTAATTGAATAAGTTCTTCCTATTGAGGATACACATACTTAACACAACAGAAAAGTCAATATAAAAGTGTAATAATATAAGGCAATACTAAATAAGATTATAATACTCTGACGATTAATTTGGCTTGTCCTTCTCCAACAAAATCAGCGTATCATCTTTCTGATAGTTGGGGAAAGCTCAAGTACAATATATCAAAAAACTCTCCGTTTCTTAGAAAAGTTAATTGGTTTTTGGCATTGTACAATTGTCAAAGTTTATCTGTTTCTCTTCTAAAATTTTTTCATATTAATTAGTAAAATACAACATTATACAAAATTAAAACTAAAATTTAAGACAAATAACTTTTTAATCAAGTCTTTTTTAATTTTGCAAAAATGTAATTAAATGTTACCCTACAATAAGAAGAAAGAAAAGAAAAATGTTGTTTTAAAATTAATGTGTGTGTGTGTCTTAGCAGTTTTGTGCCAAACTGTGGTCAGAGGAACATGACTGATAAAGAAAATAGAAAACCACAAGTCAGTCTCATGGCCATAGTTGAATTTGATAACAAATAAAAGAAGAAAAAATTAGAAGGTTTTTTAGGAGTGTTCCCGGGGGTACAGCGGGTCTATGCTATCATTTCCTGTATCCTCCCTAAAAGAGAGGATGCAAGGAGTAATAAGGAGTTACAGCCAGATTTTCAAAAATGTGGTGTTTGAGTTTTTCCTCTCTTCATCTTCTGGGCCATGGGGAACTTATACAACAAGTTTTGAACGGAAAAACTCCTGCAAGAAGGAAAGGCAGGATAGTAAAGGAGCCAGACTACGAGAGGTCAAAATCGGGAACAATAATTTGCCTTAATTTAGGGTTTAAAGTCTAAAACAGGTTTTTTTAAATGTCATAATCGGAAAATTCTTTTTAATGTAGAATTTTGGAAAATCAAAAATAAATTAATTTTGGATAGAGACGAGAATTCTACTATTTCTGATAGTTAATTTAAACTCACTATCTGGATTGAAAGGTCCGAGTCTGGTTGAATGAACAATTTTTGATTTCTTTTTTGTTAGAGGATTAGGTTTATATATTTCAAAAGTAACTTCAGAATATTGTTTTAAAATTTTGTAAGGGCCTGAAAAAGGAGAAGAATGTTTACGTGTAAAAGGATATTGAAATTCTTCATACATTACTAAATCATCTATTTTAAAATAACTGAGTTTATAATGGGTATCATATCTTTCTTCATCTATATTATGATAATCATCAGAACATTTTTGGGCAGTTTTTCTAGCTTCTTCAATTGGTGGATATACTTCTTGATTTTCAAGTAAGGAATCATAAGGTAATTCCCCATATATTAAATATGAGGAAACTTTTTTACAGAATGCGGAGTTTTATTATATTCCTCAGTAACTTGAAGAAATAATTGTGTTCATGCTATATTATCTTGATAAGAATTTAGTTTACATTTTAGCCTAGTTATAATTGTTTGATTAACTCGCTCAACTTTACTATTAGTTTGAGGTCTATTGGCAGTAGTTAATAATTGTTTTACATTATGATGCATTAAAAAAGTGCTTAAATTTTGAAGACGTAAAAGCCCACATAAAATTTTCTTTGGTACTAGAATTTGGAAAATTTGTCTTAAACAATTTATATAAGTATCGGTAATTACACTTTTAGAAGCAAAAGTCCATATTTACCTAGTAGCGCGATCGGGTATCATGTAAATGTACATTTTAGTAGAATTATAATTTAATCCACCAACAGCATCAATAGACAATATTTCAAAAGGTTCATCTAACGGACGGTAAAGATTGCATTACAACAAATTTCTTTTGTTTACTCTTTTTGTTAATTTGACATATTTCGCAATGCTCGCAATAATTTCTAACATCTTGAACAATTAATGGCCAATAAGATTGAGGAGATAATAAATTTAGCATTGAGGACACACCAGTATGAACAAATTGTACACGAGCCTTCCTGAGAAAAATCTTCGAATGTGTTCAAAAGATAACATCATCGCACATGTAACTTTCAGGTTTACGCATAAAGAAAAGGGTTTTAATGACCATATACCTAAAAATTGAAAATTTTAGTTTGAAATTGTAGGTGCGCATTATACACCGGAATATACGGTATATATACATATACATATACACCGGAATATACGGTATATATACATATACATATACACCGAAATATACCAGATATATATATATAATATTTATATATATATATACGAGATACTTACAGTGCGGGGAAAAAAAAGTGGGATAGTTCTATATCTCCCGTTCTACTGGGCCGATTGATAAAATTTAAATTGCGTTTTTCATGTCTCGAATGCGCGACTTAGGATATGTATTAGATTTATATGGTTCCCTGACAAAAGCCCACAAAAAAAAAGCCCACTGTGATAATTGCCCAAGCGACAAATACCCACAGCGATGAAAGCGCACATTGATAAAAGCCCACAAAAAAAAGCCCACTGTGATAATTGCCCAAGCGACAAATACCCACAGCGATGAAAGCGCACATTGATAAAAGCCCACGCAGATAAAAGCCCACATTGATAAAAGCTCACTCTGATAAAAGCGCACGTTGATAAAAGCGCACATTGATAAAAGCCCACATAATGAAAAGGGACTTATGGTTTTTTGTTACTATAAAATGTATTTGTAATTTTAATTATAGTATATGGAGTATTCTGAATTTTAATTATCTCAAAACTACGTCTGTTTGTATATTTTAGCACTACTTTATTTGTTTATTTTATTAGGTTGAAAGCAAACTTTCTGCTCTCTGATTAAGTGATTAGCTATAAAGTTTCGATGAGAAATCTGAAAATGCATTTTATGATTTATTTACTTACTTAACTTTGGTACGTGTATGTGAAAATGAAAAGTATCATTATAAAGCTCCTCACATGCTATTTTTAAGGTAATATGGCTGAGATTAAATATAATTATGCTTCATTATTAAAACTATTAACCTTTTAATGCAAAAACACTTGAATTTTATTTTCTTCCTTTTTAGTTTTTCCTTTAGTTCCTTTAATTTTTTTAAGTTCCTTTTTAGTTTAGTAATATTAAAACAGTTTTATGTAATTAAGCACAGTGAGAACTTGGCTAAGAGATATTTTATTCTTTACTTTAGACTGAGCTTGTCAAATTTTAAACATATTTCTGATTGAAAGCTTTCTTGAATGTAACAATTATAATTTGGAGATTTTCTAGAAATATTTTCTTTTAGATTCCTGAAATAAATTAAAACTGTGAGCTGACACCTATCTTTTGTGTATATATTGTATCATAGTTATTATTCTATATTTTTATGTTTTATTAATCTAGAATCTTTTCTCTCATTATTTAATCCAGAATTTTATTTCAGTTATTTATTATATTGATTATGAATGTATTTTTATTTTGTTTGTATTATTACTGCACTTTAATTCATTTCTGTATCATGCATATGTATGCTCTACCACCCTACTTATCAGTACTTATTCTTCATGAATTTATCATTTCCCCGCACTCAGGCTTGTCTCCCATGGTCTTATTGTCTGGTTTCCCACCCTTGTGACGCATGGTCACCTCCTCTTCCCCCTAGACTTCAGTTCCTCCTTTACCACCAATTTGCTACCTCCAACTGCCAGGTGCCATAATGCCAGGTGCCCCACCTCACATGTGTCGCACAGTTTCTTAGGCAACATTTCATGAATGAACGTCTTATAGGCCGACATGTCTCCACTTCTTGGCCACCTCGGTCACCAGACCTCAACCCCTGTGACTTTTGGCTATGGGGTTATCTCAAAAGCACTGTTTATGGTGATAATCTAAACAGTTTCTCAAAAATGAAAAATGTGATACACTGACATGTCCGTAACATTCCTCCTGATATGCTAAAAACTGCTGTTGAGAATGCAGTAACAGGATTTAACTTGCTTTCGCAAAATGTTGGACGCTACATTGAACATGTTTTGTAACATGTTTTAGAAACGATTAAACACATTTTAAATCGATGTCTTCATGTCTTATTTCATTTAACAATATTGCATACAGCGCCATTTCCCCCCTGGTGGTGAGTTTTTTTAACTCTCTCTCTTTTTTTTTTTTTTTTTTTTTTTCAGAGGAAAATAAATTCCCATAACCTCCTTTACACGATTACCAAGTTTGATAACATTTGGTCCGGTAGTTTTCCTTTTATAAATAGTAATTTATTATTTTCAAAGTGGAACTTTAATTATAACCACCATGTAACTTAGAATTTAAAAATTTGACAGTTTGGTTTCAAGTCCCAGCTTAAAAAAAATATATATAAATATAAATTTTTATATTAATCATCTTAAAAAGAATATTTTAAGAAGCTAATTTTTCTCTCGCGTTATAGATTGTATAAAAAACATGATCTTTAATATGATTTAGATTGTTTCAGCCGATATAAGAATCCGGTTACTCAGTGGTACAGAATAAACACTGCTGGGCTCTTTTATTTCTTTGCCATTTAACAAAAAATCTTTTAATTAAAATATTTATCCTTTGGACTTTGCTTTAAAATTTATTTATAGTTAAAATGCCTAGAAAATGAAAAGCTGTCTTCAACTGAAACACAGTTGATGTAACTGATATTTTAAAAAAATTGACAAGAATGCAAAATTTATGGAAGTGTAACAATCCAAAGATCTTTAATTTTCTTTTGTTGAGCACTGAAGATAAATGTAGAAGGAAAAAATGTAGGGATTAAAGGATGTAAAAATTTGAAGGGGATTTTGGTTGTCAGAAATACCAAGGTGCTTCGAAAAGTTGGATGCTTTTGAATATACTTTCAGAATACTTCAAGGAATTTGGGTGTTCAAAGAGAAAACACTTGGACGTGTACACCAGCAAATACCATAATTGAACTTGAGGCTAACGGAAAAGACAAAAACGATATCGACTTAAGAGAGACTGGTTTTCGACTATATGTTTGTATAAATTTAAATTACGTTATAGAACATCATATAATCATAAATGGAGAATCTCATGATATCTTAGTCGAATTATTTGAATATTCATGAATTTAGCCAGTGATGTATGTGGATGTCACCTAAAGACGTTTTCTCTCTTGATGAAACCAGTCTTTCCTTTCATCTCATGCCTTAAAATGCTTAGCCTCTAAAGACTGATAAAGGCTCAGACCAAGTACTGATGAAATGGATTGAATTAGATTATTAAGTTACGGCAAAGCAGAGATATCTGACCTAAAAGGTCTTCGTAAAGAACTTTCTAAGGAAAACCAGTTGGCATACACGTCACAATGAGAAAAACCACGAAAACGCCCATGCAACCAGCCCGTTTTCGAGCCTCGGAGCGAACTACCTGTGTTCAGCGACTTTACCGCTCGGCCGTTGCTGGCTTTATGGAATGGAAGGCGATAGATTTATTTAAAAGGAATGTCAGAAATACCAAGATGTTTCTATAAGTTGGATGCTTTTTAATATACTTGCAGAATGCCTGAAGAAAAAGAGCAAGCCATTAAGAAGAAAAAATAAATTTTTGCATAAAATTTAGTATTTTTTTTTTTATTTAAAACTTTTTAATCTTATGGTATTGGATTCTTGTGATTTCAAAAATAAAATATTTGAATAAAATATGAATAGCATTTTAAGAAACTAAATGTAGGATGATAAAATTGTATAAAGCAATGAGCATAATGTTAAAGCTATTTAAAGAAATATTTGCAAGTCATCCTAAGTTAAAATGTCGGTTATACATCTTTCTCATTTATATATCTTTTCTGAACGGAACATTGAAAGGCGTGTTAACTGTGCTTTACTGTATTTTCTCTTTTAATATATTCTGTTTTCAGATGCATCGTAGTCTGGGACACAAAGTATTCTTCCGAAAGAAACGCAATTCAAATAGATAAAATAAAATCCTGGAAAATTTAATTAATAAATATATTTAAAATGCTCAGTTCGAATGAAAAAGTAATAAATTTGAAGAGACAATGCAACACAAACAATTAAAATAAAAGTATAAAAATTTAAAAATTACCTAAAATAATAACAGTGACAAAAAAAATTATAAAGAAAACTATCTGAAAAAAAATAAACGATGCACCTTATATTTAAACTACGCGGTTCGAATGGGTAAATAGAAATTTTTAAAACTGTTATTCGAAAGAAACCATGCAACTTAATTAAAATGAAATTCGAAAAAGAAAAAAATATTTAAAATAATATCATAAAAATATAATGTAAGGAACATTATTTGAAAGAAAGAACGTTGTGATTTTTATTACTCTCACGGAAAAGGAAAATAGGTTGCCATATATTAAGGAGTTCGCCAAGTGAACTCTTCTTAGCGCAAACTGAAAAAAAAAAAGCGCCAACATAAATTTGTTGATTTCTCCGTAAATTTCTCAGCAAATTTTACAAAATTTCATATTTGGGCGTAATTTGAGTCGTAAAATCGAAATATGTAAAAAAATTGGCATGTTATTTCAGAAAAAGTCCGATTTTGTGTCAAAATACCTATGTAAGAATAGTGCTATATATAAATCTAATATATATCCTAAGTCGCGCTTTCGAGACATGAAGAACGCAATTTGAATTTCGTCAATCGGCCGAGTAGAACGGAGAACGAGAGATATAGAACTGTCCCCCTTTTTTTTTTTTTTTTTTTTTTTTTTTTTAAGCGCTGTATATATATAAATACGTACAAACCTACGAATAGACGTCACAAAAAAGCTTTTTTTCATACATTTTACAATCCATTTTGGGAAAAGTCTCGTTTATTACATCTGTACGTACAGAACACCAGAGACGAACCCCTGAACTGGATCTGATAGTTACCTTACAGGTAGTTGCGTCCGTACTCCGAAGACTGTCCAAGGGGAGCAGCTCCCGCGGCCACCCTTTCGCTTTTACAAAGCATGAGACGGAAGAAAGCTATGACGAGTTATAAAACGAAAACTCCTATGCGCCCGGAACCCGAGCACTCCGAGAGCAACAAAAATTCAAGAGTGGGGTCCATAGTAATGTTAGTCCCTCTCAACAGACCGAATGAGACCAAACCGCCCAAAACAGCCACAAAATCGTAGGATGTAACGACCCCACAGGCAAGGGACAGACAAGACAGTACAAGTACGGTCTCTGCCAAGCCTGAACCATCCCCCGAATGAGCAGAGGTTCTAGTCCTGTGAAGAGTGATTATATACTACCGTGGTTGAAGGCTGCCTAAGTACAGATTCTAGCCAGTACTTTCCAGGAATTCTCCTGAGTCAGCCCCCCCAGAGGACATCCGTACGTACAGATGGCACCCAAAAATATCCTCTAAATGGATTCGGGAACGGTCAAAATGGATATTTGCACTGCAATATGATAACCGAAATTTTTCGCGATTGCAAAAGTTCCTTTACTTCTCACGAGGGAGTAAAAAATAGTAGTGTTTATAATCAACATTGAGCCATAAAGATTAAACATAAACCCGATTTTATTTACAAACAACGAACCGATCATTTATTTAAAGCTCGTTGCTAAAAAGCTATTTAAAGCTCGAGTTATTTTATCCTATGTCTTAACATGTAATTGGCGGGAAGTCATTTATTAGCCACATACACAGGAAACTAAAATAACAACCCTTTTGCAGTTCCACCTGTTTTATATATATTGACTCAAACTAAGAAATAATCTAAAAACTCTTAAACATATTATGAATATTCACAATACATTGCAGAAAATGAAAACCGTAAGTGTATTTTGGTTATATATACGCACATAGAAAAATAAAATGAAATAACATTTTAATCTCTTAGTTATCAATTACTGATTCTGCACCTTAGGAAATAAAATCTCAAGTATCTTGTATTTGTTCAGGAGCTCCTGTCTACGTGAATGTCATGGTAATTAGGTGTAATTTGCTACATCAAGCCATTTGAGGGTTGTCTGTCCTCAAATACTTTGGATGCCTTTCTGTAAAATATTTCTAAGAGCTTATTTACATTCTATTTAAATAGGAGAAAAATTGTAATTGAAACTGTATAAAGTGATAATCTCTTTGTAATTATTACTTTATACAGTCATTAGGTTTTATCTATGCAAGAAGGTGAAAAATCTACAGTGCCTTCGCCGGCATTCGAACTGCGGACCTCCTGAACGCTTCGAGCACGCTTCCAGTTACACCACGAAGGCATGGGGAAAGGAGGGAGAAAATACCTCATAACTTTTAATCAAAACGTGTCATATTTCGACAAGAACACGAATATTCGTGTTCTCGAAAATCATTTTCAGACTGCATGTAAGATAGCTCTAGTACTGCGCAGGTAATTTTAATGTTATTTGAAACATTTTTTTTTTTTTAAATTGTCGCAACTGACACATCAAAATATATTTTACATGTCAAAATCGTTAAATATTTATGTTTAATTAGACATTTTGCGTTGAAAAATGAAAATAGACATTTTAGTTGCATTTTTATTTTTTTCTCTTTTTATTATTTAACTAAAAGTGCCGCAGTTACATACAAAAAGATTTGTGCAGTTCACACCAAATTTGTACAGTTAAGAATTTAAAACTATTACATTGACAATGGAAAAATATGAATAACTAGTTAGAAAAAATATAAGTAATTTGTAAGTAGTCTCAAGTAATTCCTACAGAATCTCTGAAATAAATTTAAGAGAACTGGAAAAAGAAGTTTAATAGCATTTTGAGAAGCTCTAACGTCATTTACAAAATTAACAACATAAAACAGATGTGTGTATACTGCCAGTAACTGTTCATTACGTAGATAAGTACGAGATAGACGGGAAATAAAAATGTATGCAAGAATATTTTTGTATCGGTGAAATATTAAAGTCTATCTAAGGCTTAGTAAGAGAAATTAAAAGCTGAAAACATCCTAT